GTTGGCAGTAGGTGGTGAAAGCAAGTTGCCTTCCTTCTATCCTTTCACTGCTAAATTAGGGACGGCTAGCACAGATAGCCCTCGTGTAGCTTTGCGCGAAATTCAAACCAAACTAAACTGTACGTTGTGTCTTCTGTGGTTGTATAGCTGTATCTAGGGTTGCTATTTTTGTGTGTGTTAGAGCGAAGTTTAGTCCTTTATCAGTGCAGTTATTTCTGTTGCGTTTAGGTGTACCTGTATTGTTATGATGCTTCTGTTTTTTTGTGGTCGTATTTAAATGTATTACTATGCGTTTAGGTGTATCTGTATTGTTAGGATGCTTCTGTTTTTTTTTGTGGTCGTATTTAAATGTATTACTATGCGTTTAGATGTGTCTGTATTGTTAGGATGCTTCTGTTTTTTAGTGGTCCTATTTAAATGTATTACTATGCGTTTAGATGTGTCTGTATTGTTAGGATGCTTCTGTTTTTAGTGGTCCTATTTAAATGTATTACTATGCGTTTAGATGTGTCTGTATTGTTAGGATGCTTCTGTTTTTTAGTGGTCCTATTTAAGTGTATTACTATGCGTTTAGATGTGTCTGTATTGTTAGGATGCTTCTGTTTTTAGTGGTCGTATTTAAGTGTATTACTATGCGTTTAGATGTGTCTGTATTGTTAGGATGATTCTGTTTCGAGAATCGATGAGTGAAGTTAGTTTCTTTATGCGAATGTCCTTAGTGCTTGAGTATGTGTGTATATGTGTTTTGTATGAAGCTTGAATATCTGTGTATCTTGATAGCCTTTGTTGTCTGTTGTATTGTTTATATCTTCTGATACAGACCGTTAACTGTTTGTTGTGTTTACCTGTAGGATATTTGATCCAGTTTTGGAGTGTGGCTTCATTAAATTTCCGAGTTTGTCTTTAGCATCATGATATGTTGGTAGCTAATTTGATCCTAAGTTCTTTAGGAATTACGTTACGCTGTCTACATTTATGGGGGTTGGGAGGGTGAGAAAATTATCTATTTTAGCTCATTTACAATTAACCCTTTCTAAATTCCAGGGTCGTACTGGGCCATTAAGTACTTAAAAGAGCATTTAATAATGTAAAATTATTGAATCCGTATAGATACACGTTACAGTTTTTTAGGGGGAAAACACCTAAACAAGAAAAGGTTGTTAAGAGTAGAGACTAGAATACATAGCTAGAAACTGTAAATAATATTATTGTAGTCACATCCAGATGAAGTGGATGTTATCAACCAGTCAATATCTGACTGTAACTAAGGAAATAGTGCCCCTATACGTTGGAAGTCCTACTAAAATACAGGGACAGGAGCATAAAAATAATAATGGTGCCAGTAATTTGAAATAGGAAACATAAAGTAGCTGAAAAACTTGAAAGGCGAACCTCAGCTGGCAAGAATTAACTGCTGCGTAACTGAGAAGTTAACTGTTTTCAAACACTGGTCCAAAGGTCATTGGGCTGCTGAAGGAATATCGTGCAATATTATGCTAGAAACTTGATCTACACGTGCTTTTATTTGGTTTTATTGAAATTCACTTTGATCTATATTTCATCATTCTGTAAAGAAAACTTGAAGACCCAAGAAGTAATAAAAAATCAATTGTTCAAATCTAGATTGTCCCAAGCAGTACAAAAAACTGTCATATCCACATCTTTTCAACAACTGGGTATCTTTGTTTTTAAGACTATTTTGAAGCGAATATGCGAAATATTGTATTTTGTAGGATGCCACTGACCTGTGGAAAAGCAGTGCCTGTTACACGTATTATGAAAAACAAGACCACTCCAAAAAACAACAACAAACAAACAGCATATTAAGCAGTATAGCATTGTTGTTTTTATAGAGAGAGTAGCTGTTCATGTCTTTGTTCTAGTATGAAACAAGTGATATTAAGGAACTGTTTTATATTCGAGGCATATGGTATATCAAACCAAAGCAGCTGAAACAGTGTCTCAAAATGAGTTCGTATCGAGACATAGAGCAACTTCATTCTTGTCAGAGGAAGAATATATTCTTTTATATTTCTAAAATGTGTAAAACCTAAGGAGTAGTGAAAGTTAACAACCGTCTATTCTTGTTATGAGAACAACTGAACCAGCTGCAGATGTAATACCAAAGAAGTATGACCAAGACCTACCAGAGAACCTAAATTCATGAAGCTACGGTAAAATATATACTTCAACTTTGATCGAACACCGAATGACAAGTATAATGGCTACTGTTGTTATTACCCACGAGTTTTCCTCTGGAAAGCTGAATTCACCAATTTACGAGATAGATTGTTTGTTTGTAATTTCGCGCAAAGGTGCACGAGGGCTATCTACGCTAGCCGTCCTTAATTTAGGAGTGAAAGACTAGAGGGAAAGTAGCTAGTCATCACCACCCACCGCCAACTCTTGGGCTACTCTTTTACCAACGAATAGTGGGATTGACCCTCACATTATAACGCCCCCACGGGCGTAAGGGTGGGCATGTTTGGTGGGACGGGGATTGAACCCGCGACACTCAGATTGCTAGTCGAACGCCCTAACCATTTGGCCATGCCGGGCCGTGCGAGATGGAGAGACAACATAAATGGTGACAAGTTCGAATTCCAACTTAATGTTATTATGTGGTACAATCCGAGGAAGAAGAAAAGTGGAGTTTCTGAAGTAAAAATGGTCAATTATGTATTACAACCATATCTTGTAGTTCCAAGCAAGAAGTTGCTTATTATTATAAGAAGAGAGGCTATTGGTTAGCTGCGGAAGTCATCTAATTTCTCAAACAAAGTATCCACCCGTGAAGGGACCCCTTCCCTACCAAAGAAAAAAAATTTTTGGGATAATTCAGAATTTAAGATATGTAATGATTTCGAAGTGAGGCTTTTATTTTATTTTAAATAGCATGTTTTAATACCTGGAAGATTTAAAATTTCAGCGGTAGTTAGGAACTTGGAAATAAGCGAGTTTTTACAACTTAATTGTTTGTATTGTTTTAATGAATTATCAAATTATTATTGAGTTATCCGTCAATACAAAAAACAACCAGTTTAAAACAGTGCAGAACCATATCTGTTCTTCACAAATGTATCCAGATTGTTTTAACATGTTTGCTTAGTTTAAAATATATACATGTAATTCAAGTAAATACACCTATAACCAGATAGTTGCAGTTAAAAATGGGATTGTTGGCATGAGCGAGATCATATTTCGAGATTGTAACGTGCTCGATATCTGTTACTTTTGGAGTCCCTGTGTGATCAGTTTTTATTTTGATATATTAATTGTAATATATGTTTTATAAAAGTATGGGTATAGTTTAGGGAGTACGCCATATCCCTTCCACTTCGCCTATGCTCATGTAGAAGTTATTTTTATATTATTTTCATTTAATTTGGTTAGAAACTAGTTGAATATTATAGTTTGTTTTATATTATATTAAATGCTTCCTTCCAATTTTAAAGAAACATTAAATCTCCTTTGGGTATCATTTCCTATCGGCTGGACTGGTATTGCTTGAAACACCAGTTCTTAGCTGATGATCAAATACGTTTTGGTATTTAGTAAGATATATTGTATGTTTCACATTACACTTTGAACCTTCTTATACCAGTATTTGTGGTGCACCAGTCTGCGGAAATATTTCAATAAACTTCAGACTTGAGCAATCTGAATTCGGTTTGCACCAAATGAACACTGAATGTACAAAAACTAGACAATACATAAACAACATTTTATTATCTTAATGAATCCACCTACCATTAACATGACTTGGTTCTTTACTCAGTATCTAACATTTGACACAATTCTGCATTTACACTGAACCATAACTGTGTATGTTGAAAGTTTAAGCTTATTTTCTAACAGGCCCACCCAGTGGCACAGCGGTATATCTGCGGAGTTACAACGCTAGAAACCGGGTTTCGATACCCGTGGTGGGCAGAGCACAGATAGCCCATTGTGTAGCTTTGTGCTTAATTTCAAACAAACAAACAATTTTCTAACAGAACAATTTCGTGTCTGCTTAATACATGAGAACTTAGAAAATTAATGAAAGTCAAATCAACAAAAGTCTAGCTATGCTATCTGGATAACATAGAAAACACGTTTTGTCAGTCAACGCCTCTTGATGGAAATAAAAGAACAAGCAACAAAACACAGTTCAATGATGTAAAAAGTTCTCGTGGTCTTTAGTTTCTGTATAAAACCGAATTCATCCTCGAACTGAAATCAGGTAAATCTTTTACAGGTACAAATAGGATACAAGTTAATCCATTGAAACAACTAATTCTTGCAGTAAGTGACAATTTTTTTAATCTTCTTTGCTGACCAAGGACAGGGTCGGGTCGCGTTTCTTAGGAAATCCGCATTCTCTGCTAAGTCGAAGATAGCACCAAGCTTCAGTCGTTGTCTAAGCTGGCCATTCTTGAAACAAACCTGGCAATTTTAAGTAACAAAATCATGGAAAGCGTTTATACAAAACAATGCTGTGTATCATCATTTCTGATATAAACAATCACAATAAATGTAAACATCTTTATATAAACATTACTTTATTAGATTTCAGTATTAATATAAATCATTATTTGACAAATGTCTGCGTATATGTGTGTTCACTTATAACTAGCGAACCGCTGGACCGATTTTCATCAAACTGTTATGTAAGCTTAGTGCCCCCTGGGGAGTGACATATGTGGGGTTGGCGTTCGGACCTTCACCCCATGGGGGCACCCATGTCTTCCCCATGCGTCGAACTGATATCTCAGCTAGTGATAGATAAAATAATCTGATAATTTATTACATGACAAATAACCATCAATATTTTAAGTTGAAAGCCATTTATCAGCCAAAAATATAAAATACTCAAATAATTACAGATTTAGACAAATTAAAGACATTATCCTTAAATCCCTGAATAAAATTATAATGGACTACTTTAATGCGCAATTATTGATTTTATAGACTGTGTTGTTGTGGTTAATTATTATTATTGTTTTATTTATAGGGTCGCCACACCAAGACAGGACAATTAGCAGCAATCAAAATAATGGATGTTACAGAGGTAAGTTCAGTCCATAAAATTTACTAAAATAATACTACAAATATTATTAAATAAAATAGCACTGCAAAGAAAACTAATTAAAATACCACTGTAAATAAAATTTGTAGTTAGCCAATATTTCAAAACTTTCGCTGAAGCACTGCAAGTTCCAATATAAAGTGCTCAAACTATGCACGTGTGAAATAACCTTGATGTATGTTTGGAGCCTAAACTTTACCAGATAAACTCACCAGGCAAAACTGACGCATTAATTTCGAAACAATAAACAAGTTAGCCTTCCTGATGGCAACTCACCAAATATGGACTGATTTTGTTTGTTTACTGAATTTTTCGCAAAGCTACTTGAGAGCTATCTGTGCCTGCCGTCCCTAATTTTTAGGTGATAAAATAGAGGGAAGGCAGCTAGTTAACACCACCCAATGCCAACTCACGGGCTATTCTAATCGAATAGTGGGATTTGAACGTTACTTTTATAACACACCCAATGTCCCAAAATGTGTAGCCCACAGTTGGGCGCACTCGGCTCTGTATTTACACTTATTTTAATTAATTTATTACATTAAAACTTTACAAACACTCTGTAAATTTAACAAAGCGTAGCTTTTCAATGGAAATATTTGCATTTTAATTATTTTTTATTCTAGTCCCTCCTCTTAATAATTTTCGATATATAATTATGGTATTCTTATCCCGTTAACTGTACCTGTTTATAATATCGATTTGACTTTAATTTTATTATTTTTCAAAATTCAGTTATTTATGTAATACTTTGTTTTAGGATCCTGTTAGGCCCTGTATTCTTGGCTTTTATCTATTTCAAGCATGACCCTAGGGTTTATCACCTCTAAGGTAGATGTCAACCCAGACAGTTTGCCAGTTTGTGATTGTCTGGAAAGGCTTTGTTTCAGAGGACAAAGCCTTTCAGTCCGAAGTTTCTTGTTTAGTGACGGTTCAACATTAAGCTGTAAAGAATTCAACACCCTACCTTGTTTTTGTCTTTTGCCCAGTAGCAGAAATTGCTGACTGTGACAAGTAAAGTCACTATTCAAATGCTTTCTTTATTCTAGTTTGTATTTTCAGCCCCCATCTTTTACACTTCTGAGATATTAAGTTGTAAAAAGAAAAAAAAGACTATTTAATTTGTTCGCCAAAGTTCTGTTGATTTTTGTTTTCTCTTTTGAAAGTTTGAATATTCAGGAATACCACGAATGAATTTAGTCTCATTATGTTATAACCATTTTACAAAAGAGACAACATGCCACATACAAAATACCAATTTTTAGGAAGATACTCTATGTACAGTGTTTATGATAAACAACCCCAAGTAAACTTTACTAAATTAAATCTATTGCTTCCATATTCCAGAAACAAGTGGTACTATATAAAAGTAAAGTAAATCGGATTTTTTATTCTTAACCTTAGTTAATTTTGTAAATTTTCTCTAACAGTTTATTAATTATTATTAATGCATTTGTGAATGTGTTATCACTTTGTTATATCACAACAAACTGATTGGTAAGTCCAACAATAAGAGGCTGGCTTGGTTATATCACGACAAACTGATTGCTAAGTCCAACAATAAGAGGCTGGCTGGGTTATATCACAACAAACTGATTGCTAAGTCCAACAATAAGAGGATAGCTGGGTTATATCACAACAAACTGATTGGTAACTCTAACAATAAGAGGCTGGCTGGGTTTATATCATAACAAACCGATTGGTAAGTCCGACAATAAGAGGCTGGCTGGGTTATATCATAACAAACAGATTGGTAAGTCCGACAATAAGAGGCTAGCTGGAGGTAGAACGAATGACATATGGTGATAACGATCTTTGCCAACTCTTTCATACCAGAGATCAGGCATTATTTCTATGGGTTTATTTGCTTTAAAGTAATCATCTACCCGTTTATCTGAAACCTCCATCTGTCTGTAATTCACCAATGTTCTAAAGATTTGCACACCTCATAATACTATGTTTTTCACAGCATGATCGATCGAGGAAGTATGGATATTAGTATATTATCGGATGTGATTGTAGATTCCGTGAGACTGCTATTCTTCTGAAGACAAATATGATTTGGATATCCCTTGTATTCACCACAATGGTTGAGTGTTAGTGTTTCATGACCACTTCATTTTTATCACATTTATGATCTTTTAATCACCGCGCAAAAGTATATAGATAACATATACCCGTTTAAGAAAACATCTGCTAACGTATAACTTGATATAGTGTAAAATATTCCTTAGATGGCGCTATTGTTTCTAACAAATTGAAAACACAGTAGTTGCATGTAGAAACAGTGTCGTCTCCACATTGTGAAATGACTCGCATTGTAGATGCGACAAGTTCCTTGGAAAACCACCTGATACCACAGATTTGTAAAATTAACGATAATACTTGAGACAATAAATATGTTAAGTAAACTTTTTGTTAGCGTTTCATATTTTGTCAGTTCGGAAAAAAAAAGAAAAGTCGCATGGCATGTTATATTGTCCATTTCATGAAATGGCTCTACATTGTTTAGTAGCTTTTAATTTCGCTTCAAATAATTGTTTTATAAAATTCAACCGAAGAAAGCCAACATCAAGGATCAGCACCAGTTGATGGTAGGAATGTGAGATGCAAGAGGCTAAACTCGCGTACTTTACGTGAAGTGAACTACATACATTATACCGACTGTGAAGTTAAAGTTATTGCGCGGTGTGGATTCGACAGCTGTACTAATTCACGAGTAGTAATATAAGTCGAATTACGTCATACTCATAAGATTACTTTCTAGCCATAATATGCGAAAACAAAACAGTTTTTGGGTGCAAACACCTGGTGTAAGGTTTAAATTATAACCTCAATTATATTCAACTATCTAGTTCTTAAATATTTTCTTTGCTAATCATAAATCGATAAGAAAAACAAATACTGTCATTTCTATGCGTGTCACTTGGTTTGGATATCATGTACATTGTAAACATTTCAATACAAATAAATGTTTTTTCATGTAATAATGAAACCTGTATTTGTTAATTGTAAGTTTCGAATTTATATATGATCTCAGAAATGATGGTATTTAAGTTTTATATGTAGTCTCATCCACTTTTTTTTCATTGCTACATATTATTAAAATTATACTGGCTGATAATTATCAGATTAACTTAAGAAACCGAGTTATGGCCAGCTAAACATTTCTTAAGAGTGCAACATGTGTGTATAGTCAATGCTTCGTCAGTTTTTGTTCTTCTAACAAATGTTTGTCTGGTGTTACAAACGAATGTGAGTTTTTGTTTCAGGGTTTTTTCTTCTATAGTTATTGCAATCACGAAACACTCAGATATTTTTTCAATAAATGTCTGTTTGGTATAAATATATCCTCCTACAGTACATTGATGCATCTATTAGGGTGATTATGTTTACAAACGATTGGGGTGTGTAACGAAAATGACCAACTTTTTGACTGACGTGCATTTTTACTTGTTGCAGTGCGTGTACTAAACACACTGAGAGTCTGCTGAGGTTAACGTTTCCTAGGAAACCTGGTTATTGCTACTTTATTGCCTCTCATATGGGTAATTTCATTACGTCAAGTGTAGTTTGTTCGATGTAACTAATCTCTTCATAGTTAAAAAGAAGTGACATTTATCACTGGCTGGAAATCCGTAGTTGTTAAAAACTATATTATATCTTACGTCGTAAGAATTAACGTTTGTGTTTAACGCCAAGTTCTATAATGTTTGCGTAGTTGTTTGGGTAAAATAGTTTCACGTTGTTAGTGACGTATGCAATAGGGACATTATGTCATTTGCTGGAGCCAGACTTACAGCCAACTTCATAAGAAGCAGCAAATGCTATGCAGAGTTATTCCGAGCGGTATAAAGAAAGTACAGATTACTAGCAAAAATGAAAACCGGAATATTTAGTTTCCCCGGAAGGAGATCTATCAGGACACAAGAACAACGGACCAAAAGCCGGAACTGTCCCGGCAAAACCGGGAAGTCAGGTTACTCTATGTAAACTGTAACACTGCAATTAATAGACAGTTTTTTGACGTTTATAGTCCAGCGAAATTACATACCGTCAGTCTAATGGCTAAATTGCACTAAAAGACTTACATTCCCTCCCATAACCTAAAAACTTAAACTTATTTCACTTGTTATTAGTATTATTCTCCAAATACTGTTACAAGCTGCAAAACATATACTCATATTAAGAAGTCTTCCCTTAGAGAGGAAAAATGACAAAAAAAAAAAAGATTTAAATTTAAAAAGGAATAGTCAAATTTCAAACTATTCTTCATCTTTGATCACAGAAGTGCTAAGCATGATTAACACTGAGCACGTGCCGGACTGTGGATCCAAAGTTCCTTGGTTCACGCCCCATTACTGCCAAAAAAAAAAGTCGCAGTCTGCAAGATAGGTTCGAAAGTGCATTATAAGACTGACTATTAAATCCCACTACTCAATTAGAATAGTTCAATAGTAGGTAGTTAGTGGTGTAGACTAGCTGCCTTCCCTCTAATCTGTTATTTCAAAATTAGGAATGGCTAGTGTAGCCTTTGGGTAGCTTTGTGCAAAATTCAACAAACAAACAAGTGCCATTAAACACTCTTCCCTCCTGAATTTGTAAAACAGTCCTGGGTTCAGGGCTGTTCTAATTAATAATGTATTGTTGTATATATTAATAATGTATTATTAGGTGAAAATAAAACCAAGTGGAGTCTTGTTGTTTATATCAGTCTTACCATCTTATATCTTGGTTGTTGAGATAGGTTGATTGATTATTTAGCCAGTTAGATTAGCTTTGTAAATTTTTAGCTTGCGTTTTCATTGAAGTAATAAAGTACAAGAAGTACTGTGTACAAGAAAGGTTTTGCAGGTAAGTAACTGTTTATGTGATATGTAGGTCAGTTGTTTGTGTGGCATTACATCACAATAAGGCTGATGATAATTTTTAACAAATTTGATGAGCTTCTTTGTTAGTGAGTAAACGAACATGTCGGTGCA